AAAAGAAAAAAAAAAAGGAAAAAAAAAGAAAAAAAAAGTAAAGTACATTATTGCAGGGGTCATGTATATAGCCTTAGGAGCAGTGGTAGGTAGGTAGTGAAAGGGAAAAAAGAATTCGAGAGAAGAATATAGTGTAGTTTTTAAAAAGGTAAAAAAAAAAAAAAAAGCATACATGGAAAGTCTTGCTTGCCTTGCTCAGCATGTATTAGGACAGTATTACAATAAACGTACATGCATGGCACCTCTACCTTCCTTTGGTCGATGGCGTGCACGCGTATAGAGGAAGATCTGTTTAGCTGTAATGGATGGTTGCTTGCTTTTTTTTTTTTTTGTGGGGACCATTTCTCGAGCGGGGAATATTTTGTTTTTTTCCTTTTTTTTTTTAGTTTTTTTTTTTTTTGTTGAATGTATTGCGGACGGGGGTTCTTTATACTCCGTAATTTTTCATTACAAAAAAGTAGGCATGGAGGCAGGTTGCCTTCGGAACGGCAGGAACCCCTCCCGCCGTGTGTGTGTGTGTGTGTGTGTGTGTGTGTGTGTGCGGGTGGTGGGCGACCCCCACCGCTACCAATCAATCAATCAATCAAAAAAAAAAAAAGATAAAAAGTTGGAAAAAAAACGGTGAGAAAGAGTGCGCAGGGTGTGTGTGTATGCGGGGGGTGGCGACCCCCCCCATCAGATCAATCAATCAGTCAATCAATCAATCAATTAAGGGATAATTTGCAAAATACCCTCATAAGTTGAGATAAATGCCAAAATGCCCCTGAAAGATGTTGGTAGAGCGGAATGCCCTTTTGGGCCGAAATGTTTGTGTTGTGCCCCTGTCAGGTGGGTGTTCAACTTTTTGCAATCTGACCCTTCCCGTTTGGGCCCTGGCCTGTTGCAAGAGCGCCTACGAGAAGTTGGCAAGTACTGGGGCATTTTGCAAAGTTGGACGGTACCCTTCAGGGGTATATTGCAAAGATGGGGGTCCAACCGACACCAGGGGTATTTCACAAATGATTATTTCTGTCAGAGGGGCATTCCGCTCTACCCACATTCAGCTCTACCCACATCTTCTAGGGGCATTTTGGCATATATCTCAACTTCTGGGGGTATTTTGCAAATTATTCCATCAATTAATCAATAAATCACAAAAAGTTCAAAAAAAAAAAGCGATATTGATTCACTGATTGACTGATTGATTGACTGATTGATTGATGGGTTGAGGGATCGCGGGGATGGGGCGACCCCTCCCCAACCAATTAATCAATCAATCAATCAATCAATTAATAGATCAATATATGAAAAAGTTAAAGAAAAAAGGGCAAAATCAGGGGGCGATTCCAAATGATTTTCACCCCCCTATCTTCTATGAATTTTATTTTATTTTTTACTCAACAGACCAGAACGAAATTTTGGGGGCAGGTGCGTCAGGATGTGAACTATCTACAGAAAAAAAATAGAAAATGAAAAAAAGAAAATCCACCCCCGGAATTGGGCTTTGCGGGGCCTGAATCCCTTTTGTGGACGCCCCCCAACCCCCTTCCCTGAACGACTGAACGTTTGGGGTTCGGCCCGGGGGCTTACCTGGTTCCTGTCAGTAGGACCTGACAATTTCTGTTCAAATCTATGAATTTGCATGCAAAGCCATGAATTTGGACGTGTTTGTGGAGGTATGCAGAGTTCTAATTGCGATTGATCTGATTTCAGGGCTTACCTGGTTCCCGCCAGTAGGAGGACCTGACGATTTCGGTAAAAAAAACCGCCGAAATTGCGGCCAGGAACGTCAAAGTAAAATGGCAGAAATTGAAAAAACCAGTATTTATATGGCCCCGTCGTTGTCTCCTATATCTGATTGATGCGGGAGCTCATTTTTAAAATGGGAAATGATGAAAATTTGGACGGACAGTATCTCTTATATCTCCTTCTCCGTGCAAGTGCGGAGAGAGGCATGGATGCAAAGTCATGAATTTGGATGTGTTTGTGAAAATCGCGATGGATCTGGTTTGGCATAAAAGAACAGTTGACGCAATGTCAGCATGCCCCTTTCATCGTGGGCGACACGTGCTTTTTCCCCCCCCTTTTTTTATTGTTTTCCATGGTCGGGACAAAGAGTTGCAACCCTGTGAAGGCGAGCTGACCTCAAAACCCGGTCTCGCAGCATATTTTATGAATCCTACTGCGAATAACATACCAGGACTCTTTCCTCAAGGCTGTGGATGTGATTGCGGTTAGGTTCATGCAGGTCTGGCCGTAATTGCGGTCAGATGCATTTTGAAAAGTGCTACCGTAGTGCGTGTATGCCCTCAAATCAGTTCAGATTGAGTTTCAACTCCACTCGAAGCAGCTGCTGCGAATTCACCGACGGGCCTTAGCTCAGTTGGTACATCCACGAACTGTCTGTTGAAATACAGACTCAAGTGCGAATCCAGATACTATCAGATGGACATAATGAATTAATTGTGAATAAGAAAAGAAAAAAAAAAAACAGAAAAAAAAAAAAAAGCATGCAAATTTGAATTACTAGGGCCGGGGTCAGTTCACCCCTGGCCGGTATCGCCCACCTGCTGGTGGGTGCAGCTTTCACGTATGTTCCCTCGCTGAATGCGGATGTGGCTGCTATGGGGTTCCCCATGATATACTGAAAAAAATGATAATAAAAAAGGCCTGGAAGGCCGTTGTTTTTTTTTTTGTTTTTTGTTTTTGTTTTTTTTGTCCTGTCCAGATTCGACAGGTAATTGAATTGGTTGGGCTTAAAAGAATTAGCCTTTTTAGAAAAAAAGAATGACGTTATCTCAAGGCCATTGCCCTTCATAAAAAAGAAAAGATTGCAGGGTGCAAATTGCTACTGTAGTTGTTGCCGGTTCAGCCACATGGCGGTGAATCCGTTCGGGGGGGGGGTGCGCCTTATACACACCGCTCGTCACACTTCGGGTGTCGCTTCACTCCACAACACTCTATACATGCATTTGGAGAACTTTCTGGACCAGATACATTCAAAAATGTTGAACTCATGGGAATGCACCTGGTCGAGAAATCGTCCAAATGCATGTCGAGTGTTGTCTAGCGGAGCAAGGCCCTATGGGAGTTGACCATGCCCGAAGTCGTCAACTATTTATCAAAAAAAAAAAAACAAGTTCCATGCTGAAGAAGTATGGGTATTGAGCCACGTGGCCTGCATGGGAATGCGCCTTTTTTTTTTTTTTTTTTTTTGAAAACANCAGCACGGCCGACCCCTGTAGTTATGACATTTGTGCCTCTGGCGCGGCTTTGGTGCTTCCATTCCTTTCCTTTCATTGCTTTTTCGAACTTGGCGGCTGTTTTCTTTGTGGCCGCGTGTTTTTTTTTCTGCGCATTCGAAACTCAAAAGGAACATCAACATACTTGTCCCCCTTTGTTTTCTTTGTTGGCGCGTGTTTTTTCTGCGCATTCGAAACTCAAAACCTTTGTTTTTTCTGTGGGCGCGTGTTTTCTCTGGGCATTCGAAACTCAAAAGTGACATCAACGTACTTGCCCCTTTTTGTTTTGTTTTTTGGAATGCGCTCTTAGCAGCAATGCTGTCTTACCGCGCACCTTTAACGAATGGCCGGTCCCACTATCTTCCGTCGTCCTTCGGTGTCTTGTTGGCACTTCTGTTTTTTTTTTTTTTTTTTTTTTTTTTTTTCCCCCCTTTTTTCAGACCCCGTATAACTCCAGGTTTGTCAGAGAGAGAGAGAGAGAGAGAGAGAGAGAGAGAGAGAGAGCGAGAGAGTGTTTTTTTTTTTTTTTTTTTTTTTTTTTCTCTCTCTTTTTTTTTTTTTTTTTTTCTCTTTTTTTTTTTTTTTTTTTTTTTTTTTTTTTTTCTCCCCCCTCTTTTCAGACCCCTTCTAACTTCATCTACAAAGACAAGATGTCATAATTATAAAGTTATTGGTGACTGTCATCCGTAATGTGAAAACAAAAGAAAAAAAGTGACATGTGGCTATGAAAAATGGATATGGATATAATGTGCAGGTGCGAGGCAAAGAAGTTGTTTCGCTGGTGACTATGGCCATGCAAAGGAGGCGGGAGTGCAGTCCTCGGGCACTGTCGAACATTGCATGGGCTTTGTCCAAGGTGAGAAAAGATGTAGTATGTGTTTTTTTTTGTCTTTTCTTTTAATGTAGTTTTTTTTTTTCGCCCCCTCAATGCTAGAGTGGAGGTTTTTCTGGGTTTCTATTTCTTTTTTTTTCCTTTTTTTCTTCCTTTTTTTTTTTTTTTTTTTTTTTCTGTCCTTTTTCCCGGCCTTTCGTTTTTTTTTTCCTCCCCTGTCTTTTCTCTGCAATCAGACTCACTTTCTTCTTCGCTTCACGTACATGCAAACAGATGGCAATTCACACTGGCGCACAGTACCCACTCAAAACTCAGAGATATGGAACTCGAGAACACAGTTCAGGCGCGAACTTACTTCAACAGTCTATGGCGCTTCAGCGCCTGTACAACCCAACTCTCGACACTGTCCCCAACACCACTGTTCGCACACACTCAACTCTGGATCACCCTGAATACCCCACACACATACACGCTCTTGCGTCTCTCTCCTATCTACAGCGGCTATGGCCGCTTAACCACTACCTATGGCTACGCTAACTTCTTCCAGCCCTCTTCGACCTCGAGCGCTCTGCAGACCACCTCGCACAAGTCGCTTGAGACAGCGCTTCCGCATGGCTTACGCACCGAATGAATGAATCCCTGGATGCTGCCTCTTGATTTATACTTCTGTTGGTCGCTGGTCTGCCTCTTTCCTCCAGGCCGTTGGTGCACACAGTCCCACACGGTACTTGCTTGACTGGACTGCGACTGACTGGACCGGTACCACTGACTGCACGGCGTTGCACTGCCGACTCGATACAGTCGCACTGCCTACTCGACGCAGCTGGACCTACGACTTACCTACAGACCTCTAGCCTAGCAGTTTCGACCTCTACACGTCTGTAACCCCTACTTGACAGATCTACAGATCGAACCCCGACAACTACAGGGACCTATGACAAGGTACAGTCACTACTAAAACACAGGTCGCGCGTTCAAAACCCACAGGGGTCTACTCGATACTGTACACGGTGCAGGTAAGGTCTAGGGATCGAACCCTGGGATCTGCATCTGCTTTTTTCTCCGTTTTCTTTCCCTTTTCTTGTCCGTTTTTCTCCCTTTTTTTTTCCATGTTTTCTCGTTTTCTTTCCCTTTCTTTTTCCTTTTTTTTCCCCCTGTCTCTTTCCGTTTTCTTTTCCCTTGTTTCCTCGTCTTCCACCCTCCCTTTCTTTCCTTGTTTTTTCCCTTGTTTTGTCCCTTGCTTTGCATTCCCCCCCCCCCCCCCCCTTTCTTTTCCCCTTTCTTTTTGTTCTTTTGTCTGGTTTCCAGTGGTTGGATTTCCCCCCCTTTCTTCTGAAGGACCATTGGCTATTGATTTCACTTGTTCGCATATGACTTCTCAAACTCATACTCAAAACTTGGATTTTCTGGGATGTACCTGATGGCAATTACGGCCAGTCCTGGATGCATCTGACCACAATTACGTTCATTTTACGTTCATTTTGTCAGTTTAGAAAGTCCTAGTGGGAGTATGCGTTCAATGAGTTTCTCATTATGTGCGGTGGGAAATGAGGACATACTCAAATTAGGACTTTTTCTAGTATGCCCTGGACGTGATTGCCGTCAGATTCATTCAGGTATCGCTGTAATTGCAGTTGGATACGTAAAAAAAAAGTGCTAGCGTGAGCGTGCCCTGAGTCATTTGATCTCATTCTTGTCTGTGAATGATCAATACGGTTTTAGACCGTCATTCTTGCGCAGCGCTGATGCTCATCTTCTCTGTATCATCCCAATTTTAACGGGTATCCAGGACTCAAAGACGGTTTTAGGTGAAAGGAATGAAGGTCCTCTTTCCCCCCCCTTTCTGGAGGGGGGTGGTTTTTGGGCTGAGCGCGCATGTGTGTGTGTGTGTGTGTGTGTGTGTGTGTGTGTG